AGCTTTGTGTTAGCTAATGTTTCTCTTTCTAAATTTGTATGGCATCTCAGCTTGTATTATGCGAATGTCACAATAGGAACACCGGCTTTGTCTTTTATAGTGGCACTAGACACTGGCAGTGACCTGTTCTGGTTACCGTGCAATTGTTCTAGTTGTGTACGTGAGTTGGTTTTATCAAAGCGAAAGGTATTCTGGTTTTTCACTTTAAATTTTCGTTTCTTTAACGTTGTTAGAGAGGAGAGACTCTGAAGATTTCGTTCCCCGCGAAAAGTTCTATACTTGATGAGGAAGATAGCTGTGTTTTGTTAATTATTTTGATTCTACAGATGGCTGTTTTGGTTGCTAGAACTTGTACTGCAGAATACATATTGTGTTCCATAAATCTTAAATGAACATATAAAAAGTGCTCCTTGATCAACTTAAATTGAATAGAATAGCTGTACGTGCATATATATGTGGTTCTTTTATTTAAGTTGATATATTAAAAAGGTATATAATGTTTCTAGCTTGAGGAAATTTATTGTTATCTTTGACTGGCAGAAGATAAAGTTTAACATCTACAGCCCTAATACATCAACTACTAGCTCAGAGGTTCCTTGTAGCAGCGACCTGTGTAGACAAAGGAGGCGATGCTCTTCTCAAAGTACTTGTCCATATCAAGTTCGTTATCTCTCCAATGGCACTTCATCTACTGGAATCTTGGTGGAGGATGTATTGCATTTAATCACCGATGATGATCAAGAAAAACCTGTCAATGCTAATATTACATTTGGGTAAGGAACTTCATTTCTGCTACCCTTTTTCATCATTACAAGTTTTTGTTTATATATTGTGATCTCATGTTACTTTCATTAGAATCCTTTAGAATACTTTTCAATTGTTTATCAGCTGCCGATCTGATTTATCAATATTATTATCAATTTCTTTTTCTTGCTCTTTGCTACTTTGTTGCAGCTGTGGACAAGTTGAGACTGGTTCTTTCTTAGAAGGTGCAGCCCCTAATGGTCTTTTTGGGCTTGGTATGGAAAACATATCGGTTCCCAGCGTCCTAGCGGACAAAAACCTTGCTTCAAATTCTTTTTCTATGTGTTTTGGAGCTGATGGGGTTGGGAGAATCAGTTTTGGAGATAAAGGAAGCTCTGACCAAGGAGAAACACCATTTAATACTAGTAAATAGTAAGTGATCACTTTCTGATTTGCGTTTTTTTACTTCTTTTTTGAACAGCGACCAACTTTACTTGACTT